CCTGAAACTAAGAGGCACGCTAAACCCTTCTTTCTTTCAGAAGCTGATCTTCTCAGGTATTTGTCACAAGGATGGAAAAGGGACTGGCACAATGCCCACTGGCATCTTGCTCTTGCCACTTGCGCTCATCAATGATCTGGATCCACTTCCTCTGGCATCCTGCCATGAAAGGACCAACCATCCCAAACTTTCAAACCAGTCTCTACCAGCTTTCCTACCAGGACCTTGCTTGTCTCGCACACTGGACTTTCTTGGTCTGTCACCCTAGCCTGAAATGCTTCGTGTCCCTTTAGAGCTGTCATTCCTGGTTAGAGCCCAGGGCCCCTTTCCCCTTAGTTTCACCATACCCCACAGTCAATGTCCCTAACAGTTCCATGTGAAAAGGGCCTGGCAGAAGAAGGGCTTAGGTTAGACTTGCGACATGAAAAGGACCAAACGTCACCACCAGGCTTCCAACACCAGCTGGCTCAGAGACTTCAGCCCACTGAGACCACTGCCTTTACCTTCTCAAGCTGATGGACACCCTCTTCTACACAGCAGATAGAGGCCAGTGTGCGGAGCGCCTGGGGGTACACGCACCGGAAACTGTCCTGCCGGCAGACCTTGAAGAGGGCTACAACCCCACCTTCCTGTGGAGAAGAGAATATCACATGATCATACCTTGTGATCTTCCCTAGATTGACTCAATAATAGCTGACAGCCCTCACTCAGCAGACATATTTTGAGGTACTCCTCACACATACTTTAAAAATGAAGTCCTGACCCCTGCTAGTCCCAGTTGGAAGTGAGATTCCCCAGATGCATCTCGGGTTTGGGTACCAGCAACAGACATTTTGGTATGGTTGAGGATCGAGACCCTTCTGCTCAGCCCCCAGAAGAGCAGGCCCCAAGTCACCAGAACAGGTCCTGTAAACGGGTAGAAGTAGATAAAGGGACAGAGTCTAGAATTCAGTGCCCATTCCCACTCCATCAGCCACCATACTTGTCCTTGGAAGGCAGGCAGAAAAGGAAGTTTACATCAGGTCTGTTAATCATTCCCACTGCACAGTGGGGGTGGAGAACTACTAAAGGCCAGCTGGGGAAAGCAATTTCCCCTAAATCCATGTCACCCTTACTCTTGCTTGTAGGAGACAACTGCCTTCAGGACACTCATGCAGCTCTCGAGTGTGAGTCCTTGGTCTTTGGTAGGAACTGCTAATGGGGTCTTTTTTTCTCTCATCCCATGGAGACTGCCCAATATAGTGTGCACCCCCAGTGGAATCTGGGCATAAGAAGTGCTTTGTAGTCACCACAGCAGTCCTTCCATACTCAGAGCGAGAGCACCAGCAGACCATACAGGGGACACACCACAGTATTCACAGACCAAGAGCAACACTACCCTGTGAATCCAGAGCAAAAGCTGGTACCCCCATCTGGCTTTCCCTCCTCTATCCCCTTTTCCAAGGGCTGGAAGGTGCTTAGAGGTGGCATTGAGTGAGCAAGGCATCTAAGTCCTCAGGACAATCACTTTTAACCTTACCCATCACTCCCAAGTCTAGCTGTCCTAGCACCTGTTCCAAGAATCAAGCAAAATGTTACAGAAAGGTAAGTTCAGCAAAACACTATCCCATGAGCTTTTTGATGATATACCATAAATGTATCAGGAAGTTATCAGGGACCAGGCTCTCTTCCACATTCTGGGGATAGAGCCCTGACTGGCTGAAAGGATAAAGAATGAGCATCTTCAGAGGAAGAAAGGATCTCTGCAGGGCAGCATGGCTGCACTGAAGTAATCTCAGTTCTTCCTCCCCTCCACTCCACTCCAGAGGCTCAGAAGCCCTTCTTGCTCTAACCACTTGCTTCTGACCACTGTAGGGATGAAGATGAGTTGTCCAATTCAGGGAGGCAGTATTTACTAACTCCTGATGATTCATTGATTCTAGCTAACATTTATTACAAACCTTTATATCCCTTCTTCCTCCTGGGGTGGCTGCTTTGGTGGAGCCTAGGCAAATGCATTCATGTATTCAAAATACAGTAGTTTATTATATGCTAGGCACTGCCGTGGTCCTGATCCATACTGAACTCATAGTTTGGCAGGAAGAGCAGACAGTTCTAAAAGCAGGAACAAAGCTGGGCAGGGATGCAGTGAAAAGAAGGCAGGCATGAGGCAGTGTTCCTGGACCACAGAGCAGGAACCCCTTAATCTGGGGAGGGTTTGTAGAGTGGCAAGACAAAACCTCTCTGATTTCAAGTGCATGTTATTATTAGAGTGAAAATACACCTATATGATCTATAATCCTTTACCCAGCTTTCTTATTTTCTCACGGTACACCTGGAAGTTCTGCATAAAGACCTTCCTTAGACAGTCAACAAAGCACCACCATCAAGTTACAGAAACAGAATAGTAGGAGTTTTAAGATGTTTGTCACCAGCTTCACTGGTTGTGAATAATCTCCATCAGAATATAACATAAATGGATAGATTATTTATATCTGAGTACATTAATACTTAGTCATTTAAATTGCAGAGATATAATTTTATTAGATTTATCAATTGGTAATTCATATATAAATCTGTACATTGGAATCAGAAAATGAAGAAATGATGCCATAGAAACTGAGGTGGAAGCCCATAGACCCAGGGATGAAGCTACAACTACCGTTCTACTACATGGTACTAGTCTCTTAAACTGCCTTCTCAATGTGTATCTTCCTACCCATAGACCAGTGCAGCTCCTGGTTTTCACCATCAGACAAGTTTCTTTGTGCAGTGGACGGCACTTGCAGCACAAACTCACAACCTGTCAAGGTACTAAGACTAGGTTTCTGGGAAATGCTCAGCCTCAAATGGGATAGAACACCCCCCCCCCTCAAAGATCAGGGACCACGGCACTCAGAATTGACAGCAGCTATAACTGTCTGCATAAGACCTATGCAAGATCAAGCTAGTCGAGCTCCCACCCCCCTAACTGAGGAGCTAGGGCCATGGATGGCGTCTGGGAGAGAGCCAGTTTTCTTTAAGGGGGTGGCTCCTGATAGGTAGACCACCACACCACACTGAGGTAGCTCCACACTCAGGAGTATATGGGAACACAACTTGGTTGTCTAAAAATAAAGAACATGAAGTTGAGAGGGGGTTGGAGATGTCTTATAAGAGTTAGGGATTTGAGGTGAAAGTGATCGAAATAATTGTGTTGTATTATGAAATTCTCAAAGAATTAATAATATTATTGGGGTTTGGGAAGGGGGGTTCTTGTTTGTTGTTGTTGTTTCTTAAGAAACCCAAGACCAGGGCCAGGAAGGCTGTGACAGCCTCCTTTGCTCAGAAGGCATTGAGGCCACCCATCCATCTGAGCTCTGCATTTGTATCTGGTCCCCATTACGTCTTCTCCCAAGCCTGTGAAAAATGCCCTCTTTAGCATTTTCAATTATAAAAGGAAGAAAGTCCTAGATCCTTGTTAAGGGTTTTGGGTCTCAATCGTGGCTCCATATCTGGGTAGTTTGGGCTAAAATGCTATGTAACTGTTTAGTAGGAAAAGTAGCTGAGCTGGTGTAATGGAAGGATGGAAGGATCTGGTGCTAGTTCTTGACAGTGGTGTGAGAGTTAGGCTATGGAAGGCTTCCTGATCAGAAGGTGACCTTGCCCCCTCATGAAAGGTATGTAAAGGCCCAGATCATGTGAAAAGGGGAAACAGAAAGAGAGCTACCAAGAAGTTTAGACAAATAATCTCACAGACCACCCTAGAGCCCCCACCCAGGAGCAGCACTTATCCTGGGGTAACGCTGGGATTGACTGAGCTAGCAGATCACGCTGTTGGCTGGGGCTTGTTTAATTTTATAGAAAGCTCTGGGCTCGAAGCCCAGATGCATAACAGTATGAATTATTCAGACAGCTTGGGATGAGCTGTCATAATGCTGGCAGGGGCCACTCCAGGGTGTGTAGGCTGGTGATGGAAGGAATCACAGAGGAGCTGGGGTGACTGTGACACAGCACAGTGGTACTTTGTGTGCTCTGCTTGGGGAGGGGTGGTTGCCACCATCATGAGAGGACTGGGCTCATGCATGGGTGTCTGGATCCAGATATACTCAGAAGATGGACCTCAGACAGACTGCCTTGCTCTCAACTAGGAGCGGCTTAGACAGATGAATGGCCCAGAGATCACTGCAGATGTCATGAGGAAGACCACTGGGGACCTCTCACATTGGTCCCAGTGTTGAGTTCTTTACTGAGTGTCTGAGGTAGGATGTTGTCAACACTGGACTCCCACATGGTGCTTCTGCTACTGGACCCCATTTTGTCATCTTCTAGACTGGAAATATAGAAGGCATCACTGCATTCTCTCCTGCTTCTGCACCCAGTCTACTCTATCCCAAGGACCAGACACAATGAGGTTGAAATGAAGACTGGCATCAGAAGACCTGGTTAAAATTCCAGCTCCACGTGAGTGGGCGTAACCTAAAACAAGCCCTGACCTTCTGAGAATCTGCTTCCTCCCTTTAAAAATGTGAACTATGGGGTCTGGAGGGATGGCTCAGTGGGTAAAACAATTGGTACACAACTGTGAGGACCAATGTTCAGATCCCAAGCACCCAGATAAATGCCAGATAGGTTTGGCATTCCTCCTATAATCCCAGCACACAGGAAGTAGAGACAAGGGATTCCCAGAACAAGCAGGCTAACTAAATTAACCAAGTCAGTAAGCTCTGAACTGAGACACTCTGCCTCCATGCACAAGGTGGGGGGCAATCAAGAAAGACAAGCAACATCAGCCTCAGGCTTTCCAATGCATGTACCTACAGGTGTAGCTGCACACATGGATACACATGTACACACCACATAAGGCACATATACACACAAAGAATGTAGCAATTACAACTCTTAACACAACTGAGGAAGGCTGGTCCATCAATTGGGATACCAAGTAGAAAGTACAACCCAGTGCTTCTGACACTAATGAAAGACATGGAGGAGTAGAGACAGGAGTAGGACAGTGGGGAGAAGAGAGAAGGAAGGAAGAAAGGAAGGGAGGGAGGGAGGGAGGGAGGAAGGAAGGAAGGAAGGAAGGAAGGAAGGAAGGAAGGAAGGAAGGAAGGAAGGAAAAGGGAGAGGAAGGCAACACTGATGGGAGACAGTTCAGAACAGCCAAGGGCATGTCACCTTCAATGCTGAACAGCCTAGTTAACTTCTATTGGTTCCCATGTCTCAGCTCCCCGCCTATGCAGTTGGAGTGGATTCTGTCTTCTGCACTCATGCTATATTGTTCTGTTTTTAATACTGATGCTACCATATCTATCTATCTATCTATCTATCTATCTATCTATCTATCTATCTATCATCCTCATCATCCTCATCATCCTCATCATCATCATCACAGTGACCATTTCCAACTTTAGAAAACTCAGGCTCCATGTCTCCCCCACTCCCACCAATGCCTCCCAGTCCTGACTTTCACCAGCCTCACATCCAGGGAAAGTTAATCATCTGTTGTATAATGCACCAGAAGCCAAGAAAGAAGAAATGATGATTGAGACAGACGGAGCTGTTGGAACAGGAACTTTGCCCTGTCAGAGAAGAACTCTAAGTTTTAATCAGTTAAGCTGGTAAAATGCAAAGATCGTGGCCTCCAGAGATAGGAAAATCTGGTTTCAAGCTTGAGCTGGGCAAGGTACTGTGAGTCCTGGGGTTTTTATGTGTGGCAGAGCACTGCTGCTCATCTCAGAGGATGTGTGTGGATCAAACACCACAGCTCTGCAAAAAGTTCCAGCCCAGGGCCTGGTACATGAGGAACAACCAGGACAAGGTTTTTTTTTATTGTTTGGTCATTAATATTCAACAAGGCTCATAGCTTCCCTTAGAGAGGCTATCATGGGGTATGGCTCAAAGCATCAAAACAAATATTTGAAACTTCTAACCAAGGCTGTTAAGAGTCCAGGCTACATTGGAAGCCTGGAGTTGTGTGGGCAGCTGAGGAGAGAGTGGGAGAGGTAAGGAAATGGAGGAAGCAGGAACCCAATGAGAAAAACAGTTCACCATGGCTGCCTGTTCAGGCTGGACTTTGACAAGATGAGAACTACAGGCTCACTCTTCCACCAGGCCAGACACTGTGGGAGATCAAGGAAGTCTCTTAAAACCCACAGCTGAGAGAGGTAGGCAGCACTGATGGTACTGGGGCCTGGCCAGCCTCCTGCCACAAGCTAATGGCAGGGCTGGGATGAGAACTACCTGTGGTCCTTGTCCAGGCCTTTCTTCTCCTCTGCTCTCTCCCCTCCCAGGCCTTTCTCCCCTGTTCTCTCCCCTCCCACTGGACATGTTTGTAGTCAACATTAACCCAGGGAGAGTCCCAGACCTCTGAGAGGACTAACTAGCATGAAGTCAAACACTACATTTGGCTCAGATTTAAACTCATGTCTACTCTCTGTTTTCATGAGAGAAGAACATGG